TCAGGTTTGCAACCTGTGTGCCTTTTGTCACAGTCCTTAACGTGTCTCTGTGGCTGTACGAATACAACGCACGTTTGCCTGCATGCTTCAAAGCTGCCGAATCCTCAGCGCTGACACACTGTGTGTTTATTTACAGATGGACATTGGTGACAGGCAGCTCAGACACAGCTTTTAACAGTTCTAGAAATACCGCAGAGACAATGAGAGTACGTCTCAAAGGGGATGCGATCTGTACCCTCTTCCTGCTGGTAGCGCTTTGCTCTTTACTCTACTCCCAGCTGGAACATTTAGTCCCGGTAGGAAACAAGGAACCGACGCAGAAGAAGCCTTCAGTAACACCAAAAATATTATCTGACCTCAGAGCACCTTGGAAACTGATGCCAGCAGAGGCAAAGGTACCCAGACCCCAAGTAACTCCTATCATTAGACGAACAGAAGAGGCCAACAAAAAGGTCCAAACTACAACTCCAGCCCCGTTAACTGATTCTGCCTTCAACTTCAAGAGCTATCTCCTAAACAAGGATAACAGGAACTTCAATCTCCTCATTAACCAGCCCAAGAAATGCAGGAAAACACCTGGAGGTCCCTTTCTGCTCATTGCTATCAAATCAGTAGTTGAAGACTTTGACAGACGTGAGATTGTCCGGAAAACCTGGGGCAGAGAGGGTTTGGTGAATGGGGAGCAGATCCAGCGAGTGTTCCTCCTGGGAACACCAAAGAATAGGACATTGCTCGCGACATGGGAGACCCTGATCCACCAGGAGAGTCAGACTTACCGGGACATTTTACTCTGGGACTTCATGGACACTTTCTTCAATTTGACCCTGAAGGAGATCCACTTCCTGAACTGGGCTGCTGAATTCTGTCACAATGTGAAATTTATTTTTAAAGGTGATGCAGATGTTTTTGTCAACGTCGAGAACATTGTTGACTTCCTTGAGAGACATGACCCCACTGAGGACCTCTTTGTTGGGGACATCATCTACAACGCCCGCCCCATCCGTGTCCGAAAGAGCAAATACTACATCCCAGAGACCATGTACGGGCTAAGCATCTATCCAGCTTATGCAGGAGGAGGAGGGTTTTTGCTGTCCAGCCGCACCATGAGGAAGCTCTCTAGGGCCTGCAGAGAGGTGGAACTCTTCCCCATTGATGATGTCTTCTTGGGCATGTGCTTACAGAGAATCAACCTCAAACCCATTTTGCATGAAGGATTCAAGACTTTTGGCATTGTCAAGCCTTCTGCTGCCCCACACCTACAAACATTTGACCCTTGTTTTTACAAAGATCTCATGGTAGTTCACAGTCTGAAAGTTGCTGAGATCTGGCTAATGTGGAACCTGCTCCACAGCCCACGTCTTTCCTGCACTCAGAAGAAGCAAGTGAAGAAGCCTTTCCAATGGAAAAAGAAAGCTCAAACAACAACACAGGCATCACCCCTTAGATAATGCAAGCAGACATCAGCAGAACCACATCACAAACCAGCTGAGAAAGTGAACTCAGAACTGTTAGAACCAAATGACCCAGAAGTATTCTAGCACACCTTATTTACAATGTTAAGAGGACAAACTATTGCAGGAATTTGCCGAAATTCCACATTTGCACACACATACCGTGTAGGTCCTTCTCCATTAATGAGTCTAAATAATCATAACAGTATCTTTAATTTATTATTATTTATTAGAATTATAGTAGTGCTTAGTGGGCCAATGGATAAAAGCACATTGCAAGAAGCAGTCCCTTGGAGACTTTTCGTTGTTAGAAATGTGAGAAATTAAAGAAGATAGAGAAGATAGGTAAGAGATGACACCAATGAGGACAGGGATCGTTGTCAACTTGTTACTTTGACTCGGACTCATTGAGAAATGACCAAACTACACAGGAACTAGAGTGAAGGAAATCTAGTCACCTACTGTATGCTCAAATCAACTCACTGCTGCCTGGTGTGCTTTCTGTAGGCCTCATAAGAATGAAACAACCAACAGCTATTGAAATGGGGTCCTACACGTTGCAGATAGGGCAGCCTAGAATAAAACAAACTGGATGATGAGGCTGGCATCTCTGGTTGAGCAAAGGACAGGAAAGTAGATAACTGGGAAGGGGCAGACTTCCAAAGGGCTTTAAAGAAAGGACAAGAAGAACTTTGAGTTGATCCCTCCGAGTCTTGATTTTTCATTATTCATAACTCCTCAGTTTAAACATTTGCTCCACTGACACACTCAGGACTCAAGGGACCAGTTTTTGGCACTTGAACGAGCTCAGGCTCTCTACACTGTGCTGACTGCCACTCAGAGAAAACTCAGTCATCCAATGGTATCTGATCTCTCACCATCTAATCCAGATCTTCAGAAGGTTTGCATCTGGAGACATCCTTCGGCCTTCGCTTGTGAGAGTAAAACCACACAGAGCTGCTGCTTGCGTCACATTTGGGAGCTTCTTCAAACCAAAAGAAAACTTGTCAATGGACTGGGCTGGTTTCTATAGACCTCAGCGTTCTTGCCTGGCATACAGTCAACTGCAAAGAACAGCCAAGACTTTTCATATCACTGTGGGTGTCACATGAAGGGATAAAGTAGTCTTCAGACAAAAAGGCTTCAGAATAAAAGCCTTTCTAAATTTATTGCAAGAAAGCAAATGCACAGAGCAATGCTTCTGTTGGGCTTTCCAAGTTTCAGTCAGTCTGTAACTTCTTAAGTATTTTAATCGTCAGGTAAGAACACTGGATTGCTTAATCTTTCAAAGAATAGTTAATACTTTGAAGTGTTTTGTTTTTTCTAACATCAGATTACCTTAAAAGAACATCATTTTCTTGGACATCAAAGAGAAGTAAATTCCTCTAAATCAGGGTTAAAGCACTATGAAATTCATGGAGCAAAGAGCCAGAATTCACCTCTGCTACTGTGTTTGTAAATTCTTTTGTGATTTTTTTTTCCCCTCTCAACAAAACTCCTATCCATCAGAGAACCCCTGATGTCATCCCTCCTCAGGAGGGCACGTACACACAGCTTCAGAGGAAACTACAATCGCTCATAAATGTCCAGGAAGTTGCTTTCCCTTGAACAGAGCCTGCAGCGCAGCTGCATTTCATATCTGGGTATAACCTGCCTCCCACCCAGCAGTAGTCCAGGCTCAGTACTTGTATTAACTATTAACATGGAGGAAAGCAAGCTGGTAATATCTATCGGTAAACTCTTAGCAACAGTCTTACATGTTACCTTCATCATAAGAGTTTAAGCCTTACAATAACGTATTTCCACGGAAAGGTCAGCTATATAGAAATCAAAAGACCATATGTTGATTTGGGATATTTTCAAGATGCAATCCTGAAATACAAAATGCTCAGTGGGCTTTACAAGGAGCTCTGTAGAGTGTGAAAATAAGTCAGAGCCTTGTTGGTGGGAAAAAGCCAGTCTCTCCCTTATCTGCTAACGTGTGAAACTTACGTATTTATGAGCTTATACAGAAATGTATTACCTGTGATTAGTTTACAGTTTGGGAAATTATTTATACCATAATTAAAAGACAGCATGCAGACATGCCTCTACTTGTCAGAGTGAGTCTGTCAAGTACAACTGCACACATGTAAGACTAACACCACAGGTATTTTTCCTGTAGACAGCAACATAAGAAATGCATTATTCATTATTTTGGATAACTTGGTAAATCTTTCCTTATGCTGGACTTAATTTAATGGTAATGATAAAAAAAAATAAACACAGCTTACCTTATGATTTCCTACAAGGAAGCTAGTCAGGTTCAGCAGCCCTTATTAAGATCTTCCTTTTAAGCTTAGAGATGCACAGAGATTGGCTCCTCCCTCTATAATGTCTTCAGATCTGCAATCTACCCACAATACAGCATTAATAGGTGCATTTTTTGTCCCAGATCAAAGTTGTTGTTCAACATTCACCTATGCCAGCACGGACTCTGATAGCTGGCAGAAACAGAACTAGAGCAGACTAGACCTCTGTTGTCTTAGTCTATGGAATAGCTCATTTCTTTTATCCAATGAATACTAAATCTAGCATCTATTAATGAAAGATACATTTTGTTCTCCAGCCTCTGCTGCATGGCCTGTTTGACCTGGCTTTAAAAGTTTCCATTTGCTTCTGTAGTTGAGCTGCAAGTTCACAGACCCCTTATGTGAGCACAATGCACTGGGGAAATGCTGGAGGGCAGTGCTGCACCCTCTACAATTTATTAAATTCTACTTACTGCTACAGCAGGCAAAAAGTCCTTGACTTCACCCAAGCTGGAGATTGTTTCTTAAAAGATGGAGGTCTTCTCAAAAAATCCTAAAGCTCTAGGGGCGTATGAGAGCTGGCAGGAAAGACCCTCTACTGACCTTTCTGATAGATCTCAGAAAATCAAACCCATCCATTTCAGAACGACATTCTGAGCAGCGTTTATTAACTGGCTAGATCGATGCACCAGTCAGGGTTTTGCTACAAAGCCTTGCCTGGCATTTTTTTTCATGACTAACCCATGATGAGAAAACAAAACATAAAAACATCTTAAGTGGATTCCACCAGTAGCAAGGAAAGCAAGCAGACTTCCTCCAGACAGACATAAACATCTGAGGCTAATACAGTACAGTAGGTTTTATTGAATCCCAGGGATCCACACACTGTCAAATTTTGTTCCTACTGTACATAAATAGCCAGATTTGGTCACTATAACAAGCAGAGCTGGCTTGAACCTCACATTCAGCACCTCCAGATGCATCTCTGAACACATAAACTGGCAGAGAACGCCAAGATCCATCATTCAGTCAGGCCACTGCTGACTTAGACATCATAAAAAAGAAAGCCAAGGATGGCTCTGAAGAAACTGAGTGTTAAAATACTGTGCTTCCTGTCTGCAGTTTAATTATTCATCTTTACAGCAGGTTCTCAGAAGCAAACCCCAACTGCAAAATCAAATTTTACAAAATAATCAAACGGCTCAGAGAATCCTCACTAAATGTTCGCACTGAGAACACTCCGTGGAGAACATCCCCCGGGGGTGGCAGGGGGGAGTCTACCCCAAAGCCCAGTTTGAAGAACAGCTGAGCCCAAGCTGTATCTTTCAGCTGGAGTTGCAGGTCTCATCAGCCCACCACATTCCCCTAATGATGCTACTAACTCTACTGACATTTGTCAAAACAGGTAAAACTTTTAAATCCAACTTTTCATGATTTTTTAAGGTTTATGGTCAGTAAGAAAATCATGCTAATAAGAGAGGAAACTAAACCCCAAAGGACGAATGCATCTGAGTCTCTCCAAGAGTAGCAAACAGCTCCCCCACCAGTCCTGTCCAGCCTAACCCTCTCTCCAATTCGCCCAAACCCAGCTGACAGCTCTTCTCTCTCCCCTTCCCAGCCCACCTGCTGTCAAGCCAAGTGCCCAGAACAGGGAAAAAAACATAAAATAACACAGGTCCATGATGACTGCCTTGTTGCCAGGGGACTGACTGAGCTGGGTGGGAATAAAGGAGTTGTGTTAAGACAAACACTCTCTATGGCCATAGAAGCAGAAGAAATAATCTTGGTAGCCTCCATACTTGTGGATGCAACAGCTACTCAGCAAGGAACAGGGTAAACTCAGGATTTCAGGGCTTAAGTTTTTCTAAGAAAGACCAGCAGAGGTGAAAAGGGAATACAGTGATTCAGGCCGTTTTGATTACTTAGTTGATTAGACTGCACATTGCATAACCACACGGGGCTTTTTTTATGATTGGTATTTAGACTAAATGTGTCTCTGAAGGATATTAATACTGGAATGAAACTTAGGCACTAAGTAGAATATGTAGCATAGGTGGGAAACATTAAGGCAATTAGAAACAGCTTTCAAAATTGCAGTATGCAGTACTTTAAAATGACCAAACTAGTAACATTTAAAGAGGAATTAATTAGGGTATGAAAGAGAAAAGGTTACGTTGCATCATTCCAGTCTAGTTCAGAACAAAAGTTACTGCCTGTAGAGAGTATCTTACACCACAGTAAATGACCTGCTCTGCAAATTCCAGCTTACCTTTCCTGCTGCTTCAAGAGGTCAGTGTTCCCAGATCACAAAAAGGAATGATGTTTCCTGATGGAATCCCCATAAAGAAAACAAAAGCCTTTGATAGAAGGTTTGGTAGATAAAACATTTTAAACACAGTGACTTTATTAGTTACAGTGAAAGTTCACATATGTAGAGAATATACCCTAAAAGTAACATATACACCCCTTCAAAACCAAATCCCTTCATAGATGCAGTTTTCACTTGATGAACTGGCTATACCCTGACCTTGAATAAGGCTCCCTGCTTCATTAATTCACAATCCTATTTCAATGCTAAGAGTTGTATCTTCAGTAAGCTCCAGTTTTATTTTCCCCTTATTTTGCTCCAACCTTACCTTATCTGAAACATGCTGGGCCATACCTTATATGAAAAGAACCATTCAGAACTAATTTGTATTTTAAGTCCCCAACCAAACACAGTAATACATTTGGCTACAAGTGCTGTGTCAGTTTATGACTGACAGGGTCAGCCTGAAAGGACAGTGCTTTGTGTTGGTGTAATCAAGGTTAAAAAGGTACAATAAAAAAAGTGTTTATGGGACAAAAGTTAATATGGAACTGCTGTACCTGCAGAGCTAGCACCAAATAGGATTTTTTGCATCACAACACCAAAAATTATTCTGAATTCAAAGACCTATAAAACACAACCAGCCCATGTGAAATTCTGCCATATTGGACACCTTGGTGACTCTGAAGAAAGCTACAGTTCGGACATTTCTGTCAAAGCAAGAGCCACACAGCTTCACACATGCAGACTGACTCTCATACACGTTTGGAGCCATCAAACACAAAACCTAACAGAGCTGCTAAGCGACTAACAGGCTCTAACACCACAAAGTCAGTGGGAAGTGGGCACCACCACCCTCGGTTTCCCATTGGAAAATGCCAGCTGCGGCCTAACCTCCAGCCAGCCCCTGACAACAGTGAATCACCATCTTGCTGCAATCCTAAGCCGTGGGAAAGATTTGTTTTTAAACAGGTTTGATGGGAGTTCTGGAATATGAACTATCATGAGTGCATGAATCAGTTCTCACACACCACCCGATTACTATTTCAGCAAAAAATTATGTTTAGAATTAGAAGTGTGACGGTTCCTGGCAAAAGAAAATTGGGTTTTCTTGACAGGAACTGCATTTTGGGGAACAGAGGGTTCTAGTATTACACAGCAGCACTGATCTATATAGTAGTGCCTGTAATATTCACAGGAGCCCAGGGACTGCTTGCAAGCCTGAAAGATATGTGAAGAAATTTCATCAGCTTCATCTCCAAAAAGAAGAGCACAAGAATCAGTTTTATTAAGTGTAAACAAATGAAATACTATGGGAAATACTGCAATATTCAACCACACATACACACACTCAAACTCTTGGTCTATACAAAGGAAGACGACACACATCAAAATGGGATCATATCCATGTGTTTTATTAAAAATGCAGTTGTACTTAATGTTGTATCAAACAGTTTATCATATGAAACCATATGATGGACCAGCACACGTTGCCAACACACAGGATCTTTATCAAACCAGATGCAATTCCAACAAGGGCACCTGCTGAGATGGGATCCGATACAGCTCAAATTCCGCGGTTCCTTTGTGAGGGGAAGGTGCTGCGCCCTGCCCAGCAGAGCTAGAACAGGGCTGCACCCTGAGCACCCCTCCGCAAGGAACAGCTTCTGGTTCAGATGAACAGCCTTGTTCCCGCCCCTCCTTCCTGCCATGCTGCCATCCTCACCCTCACCCCCAGAGCTCCTCTATTCCCTGTTCCTTCCTCTCTTCATTCCGGTTAGTGTCATCAGTCCCCCCACCCAGTCCTAAACTTTTCATGCCAGCAAGTCCTTAAGGCTCCACACCAGCTCCCCTAATGCATCAGCACAGGAGCAACTTGAGCTTATCTTAGCCCCAATAGCCACAAGCAAATCAAAACATCTTAGAGAAGTGAGCTGTGACCAGCTGCAATCACAAAGGAAGTGCCAGGAAATCCAGAAGAGCTGCTCTGCATTATAGCTCTGCTTCTCCCAGAAGTCCAATGCTTTGTGCTCAGCCCATCAGCAAGATGCAAAGTTGTCTTTAATTTTTGCCTGTTAGAAGAACTTTTGAAGATTGACTGACCTAGAGAAGTGTCTAGGCTGCTAAGATAGCACATTTCATCATCTACACTGTTTTAGTTGCTTTGACTCACCAGAGCATTACAAGTGAAGATGGGAATCACTGGAGTTGTTAAATACCTGAACTGCTGCCATCCTGAGGTGCATGCTACAGCAGCAGTCCTGACCTCACACTTCTGGAGAATTACAGCTGAATCCTGCTCTCAAGCATAGACTGGCAGCATCTGAGCAGCCATTGCTCAAATCATCTCATCAAGAATTTTTCTCCTCCTGCAGCTAATCTGGTGCCCTTATTAGAATAGGGCTAATTAAAATTAATTTTTTAGCAGGATTGTTGTAATTTTAGTAACAAGCATAAGCATGCACACCATCTCAGTTCAGAGATCATCAAATTCTCCCAAGAGCACACTGAGCCAAGCACCAGGCAAGGCTGTTTTATACTCCAAAACTGCAGGATGCTAGTGGGGGAGAGCTAAGTGCTCTACCCTGCATTACACAGGCAGTGCAGGAGAAATGCGAATGGAAACAGAAGTCCCATTTTTTACGCCCTGCGTTAACCTCTAAGTTACTTCAGGGTAAGCAGCCTTCAAATGCTCTTCTGATGAAGTACCTTAGGGCACAAGAAAGTAGCATGAGAATTCACATTTGCTCCTTTTACTGCAGACATTTATTTCATTCTGTTGTGCAATATTCAAACTCTCTGAAGCCTGATTGATTTTAATGACACCCAAAGGCTGACGTGAGTGTAACAATTGCATTTTTGACACAATACAGAACCCACAGTGTTATTTACCATAGTTTAAAGACTTTCCTTCTCCACTTCAGGACAAAAATTTATCCATACACTTTCATGGATCTATTAGGATACAGACTGCAAGCTATATTAGTTTTTATACTGTTTCTTTGGATAACAGACTGTATCAGCTGTAAAGGAGGAACACTAGATGGGTACTTCAAATATAATGCCTGAAAGACAGTAAAATAAAAAGAACTAATTGGTAAGAAAAAAAACCCCAAGAATATCCATGATTTTATTACAAAAACACCCAGCAACTGTATTTAACACAAAAACAGTAACTGAGAGTCTCTTTTTATTTTGCTTTCAGTGTACATGCTCATCATTATTCCATTTAATTTACAGAAGGGCTATGTAAAATGAAATTAAAATTAGAGAGGAATCAAAAGGAAGGTTGAGGCATAGAATTTTCTTAGCAAGCAATGATCACAGGAGACAGCACAGATTGAACAGGGATTCAACAGGAGTGACACCTAGGGATAAAGGTAAACAATAACTTTTTCCTTATCCATTAGATTCTCCATGGGGCTTTTTTGTTTTGTTTTAGCAAAACAGTTTAGAATATCACAGTATACAGGAAGACTAAATGGCAAAGAACATCTCACACACACACACATACCATATTTATCCCTGCTAATGGTCCAGGATCCAAAACTTCAGTTAACACTCGATTTCCTATCTCTCATTCATTGGTAAACTATACAGGATTACACTGTACATGGAGTTAAAATTACAAAAATGTCGTATTTACAAAATCTGTACACACATAGTAAAACTCACAAAATTGTCATCTATGTATCACAAGTTGCTACACCAAAATATTAAAAATGGGATAAAATTATACATTTCTCTTGTCCATTTTTAAAAAGGGTTCAATATCTCAAAGACAGACCACCTATTTCCCCCAAATAAGACTGGTAAGAGAACTAGAAACCTAAAGTATCCTCCTGGGATAAAATGTCGCGAGCAGCATCTCCCAACTAGAAAGAAGCCTATATCCTGTCTGCTGGGGTGGGGTGTGCAGTTAGCGTATATGTACAGAAATGGTGAAACTACAATAAGGATGTCTTTGGCTAAACCTTTGGCATAAATTAAAATCATACATCAAAAGTTACAGAAAAGATTTTCTTGGTGATGGCAGAGCTTGGGAATTTCTTTCTGACATACCATTATATACAGCTTTTCTTTCTCCAAGAAAACAGTAGGAATAAAGGATTTTGGAACAGAGGCAAATGAGGCAACAAATATTTGTTAAATTTTTCTATAGTATGAAAAATTGTATCAAACCTTTTCACTAAAACATAGTTCAATCATAGAAACAACCTCTTCCTTTTTTTTTTTTTTTTTTTTTTTTTTTTTTTTTTTCATATGAAAAAACAATTAGTAAACCAGCCATGGCAGAAAAAAAATGTTTCAGCATATCAAGTACATATTAGTGCAGGAAGGTGGATAAATTTGATCCACTGTATAAATAAGCTTTATGCGCAGCGTACATTAAATAACCATCACACCCCACTCACACCCAGTACACAGATGCTCCTCAGTGAAGATAAACATTTATCAAGTAATTAAAGTGTATGTAGTGCAAATGTTACAACCAAGTATTATGCACATGCTACTTGCTTGGTTTAAAGTTACACAAAGATGTGGTGCCTGAAATCATGGACATATATACATCCTTGTCACACTTGGTACAATGTCCTAAGCCACAGAAATACCGATGTGTTTATATCTATATATATACACACACACGTTTTCTTAAAATGTGACCACCACATCAATACAGTAACACAAACAGACTAAAATCAATACCTGCTTCCAGATGCTCCAAGGCTCAGAAAGTTTGTGCTTCTAACTCTTGCAGTCATTACGTGCCCCTTTTCCATTTCCCCCTTCTGCCAGCTGAGAAGGGGGGACAGTCTCTTCAGGTCTGTGCTGCATAGGATGAGGGCAACGGAGAGGAATAAACGACGGCACAGGCACCTAAGCTGCTTTCCTCCATCAACAGTTCCATGCCCCATGATGAAGGGTTGAGAGAATTTCCCCTCCACACCACTCCTGGGTGGAAAGGCTTATTGAAAAAAAAAAAAAAAATCATAACGTGCTTTCCATATTATAAGTGGCAGCAAATCAAGGCACGCTGTACTAATTTTGTAGCATTGAGATTAGTTGACTTTGCAGGGGATGCTCACTGGGGAAGGTCCGATGTTCTCAACTGGCTGCTGGGCCGCGTTGGGCCGTACAGAGTAACAGACGCTATGTGATTATTCTGCATCACCTGCAAAACGATGGCAGGGGAAAAAAGGGAATTAAAAGAATTGTACACCAGTCTGGAACTCAAAAGAGCAAAAATGGCAAATATGGAATTGATCCACCTAAAGAAAGAAATCCCAACAGCAAAAGAAAGCAACAAGCTCTTGGCTAGTTCCTAAAAATGGTCTCTAGGTTTCCATGACACATCTGAACACCAGCACATTCTACAAGTGCTCAGAGCCGAGCACATGCATGTCCTGCTAGTATGAGTGGTAAGTGACAAACGAAATTCCAGCTTTAACAGGCAAACATATAGCCTCAGAGAAGAGATTGGTAAGTTGCCTGTTTCTGCTAGGAAGCTCTAAAATTACAGCCACTCCCAAGCACTGGCTTTCATTGAAATGGGAAGTAAGAAGCCAGTCATAATAACAGCAAACTCCTCATCTTCTCTTGCTCAAACAAATATGGAAGTTTTTCTCCTAACCTCAAAGATCATTCGTTGCAGTCCAAAGCAAAAGGTTGACCCAAATGGGTTAGTGTTGTTTGGAGATGACGACCTGAAAGGGAGAGGGGGAGAGGGAAAAAGAAGAAAGGATGTGTAAGGGTCAGGAACTTCTTAGGCAAGAATAACCACTCAGTAATATAAGGCAACTTACAGCATCTTTATCATGGCTTTCATCAAAATAAAGTAAATCTACATTATGCAACACCACTGCTAGACTCCAAGTGAGCCAAAGGATACCTCTGCTTAATGGTACAGAACCATTATCAATACTCAGGGACAAAGTAATCAAAAAGTTACTTAATGATCTCTACAGGAAAACTCTCTTAACTTGAACAGGAAGAACCCTGAAAATAGACAGACACATAGGGAGAGAGAAGCACCATGTAATTTATTACAAATTATTTTTGTGCAAGGTCCTTTGCCACTCTTCAATATGCTTTATGGCTCAGCCTCTACCATAGGTATTTACTGTATGCTATTAACCCACTGGTTTTATCATGTTAAAAAAAATTACCGTGTAAGATGCTGAAATAGAATAATCCAAATTTTATTGAACAGCATTTTTCAAGATAAATATATCACTTGTCCTTCAGTTATTTCCGATATTTTTAGAACATATATATGACAATGGCAGATTCCTGCTGATTGCAGTGGATCTTAGTAATGCCCAAATGCAATGTTTTTTTGTAATAGCCAAAAATAACCCCTAGAAAATATTTTCCTTTTGGCTTTTCTCATAACTGGTCTGTTTCTCAGATTGTATGTCTGAGATTTTTGAGAGTAGCTCAATCAGAGTTTGCTTTACTGAGCACAACACAGATGAAAAATAGAAGACCTCTTTGTCATGACTGTTTCACCTCTGCTTTACATAATTTCTGCCCTAACGACCTCACTAGCATAAAACAGGAGTAAAAGGGAACAAAGGGCATAACAACTGGGGGGGGGTGTGTGGAGAAAAAGGAAAAAAAAGTTCGAAAACATATGAAAGACTGGTGAAAATGCCTTGTTTGGTATATCTGAAATTGCTGTAGTATTTTCACAATACCTATGACTTACACTTGTTCTAAGACAAACCATAGCTTCATATCATATCATATCATGATTAACTCTGCAAACAGATAATGACTATTTAAACCCAACACCCAGCTCAATCCATGTAGAAACACTGCAAATGTAAGGACTGTTCTATCTTCAGTCACCCCATAAGACCTATGTGTATGTTCATAAAAGCAAAGCTTCTTCAGACAGACTGCTATCATATATACTACACACTCTCCTATATGATGTCACATTGTTGAAATGCTTGTGACTAGTGTAAAAAATCTACACTATTTATTACACAGAGACTTCTTCATGTGCTGCTTAGCTCTTCCTCTGGATTTTACAGTTCGAGGAATTTTAGAAATGTTTTCATTCAGCAGGTCAGTGTATTTCCTCTGAAAGCAGCTATCTAGTCTTGTTAGTGGCTGGACAGCTTGAAACTTTAACAGCAAAGCAGCTCTGAAATAACTAGTGCAATAACTCTTCCGCTACCCAAACTCATACTGTTACCAGCTCAATCCCTGCCAAACAAGAGAGATTTTTACCTGTGAAGTACCACTGGTTTCTCTACAGGGTGCCCCAGAAGATCCTGAATACTGTCCCACTGTAAATACATCAAAGACTTTGTGTTAAAACGAGGCACAAGAAAACTTTTTATCTAAGAAGAGAGTCGGTGTACATGGTTTTTTTGGTGACATGTTCATTTGCCAAATAACATAAAGGCTGGATTTACAGAAGTGTTTTGTGACTGGAGCCATACTCAGTAATGGAAACTATCCATTACTAGGGGTAGAAAATCCTCTCAGGGTTTATTCTCATTTTCATCTCAAAATAGCTTTGAACTAGAATTATTAATACAAAAAAGTTCTATGAGTCTTAAGGGGAAAATGTAGCTGGAAGGGACACCTCAGAGAGCAACACAGCTGTGGGAAACTTCAACAAAATATCCTCTTACATATCTTTGGAGAGGGAAAAATAACCTCACTGCTACCTCTCCCAAAAGCCTTTCCTTGATTTAAGTGACAAGTATGAAAAAGAGGAAAGCTGTGCTATTTAATGATTGGCAATGTCCAGCAGTTTTCATCACTCTAAGCAGACTTAGGAAGAAGCTGCAGTTTCACACAGAAGACTTAAATAAGTAAAAGCACTGAAGGATATGAGTAATTCAGATTGAAAAGCATAGATGGCAGGTTGCTGACTCCAATTTTTTCCTCCCAGCATGGGATCCAAAATTCACCAAGGAAAGCCTTCATTTGGCACCCCAGGATCTAAGACAGCAGCACTGACCCTGGCTGAATGATAACCACAGACACTGCTGAACACAGTTTCTGAGTTTTTCTACTTAATGTAGCTCTCAAACATACAGCACCAACTGCCCAGTGGGAATTTCATTTAGGTGGTACAGTCTTCAAGAGTCTGCTGTCATTAGGTGGTGTCACACTGGCAGTGAGATTTTTGTAAGGCCTGGTACTGGCTGCCTGAGAAACATCCCGTTACTGGCACCCTTCAGAAGAAAGTGGAAGGGTACTGGATGCTCTTGGTTAAATACTACATGTCTTCAAGAACTACATTAAGTAGAAAAGCTCTGTCAAAATTTTGTTTAGAAATATCTCTTCCAACTAACATTCAGCCACCACTGTTATGGCTTTCCCATATCACTTATTTTAGTGTTCTATTTCTACCTGCAGCTATCTTCATAATGCAAAACACGCAATAATGCAATAATTTAGTTTGCTTGAAGCATGCTATTACAAATGCCTTCAATCCTTAACACAACAAAACGTTTAAACCACAAAACATACATTAACTTCTGGCCTTCAACTTCTCCATTTTAGAACAACATGATAAAACTGCTATTATTTCTTCAAAGCACATTACAACTTCAGCATAGATCATTCAGATGGTTTAAGGAGGAAAACATTCAGTTCTGCACAAACTTACCTTGCTATATGTCGTACATGTTTCTGTCTGTGAATCGGCACTATCTATGAAAGAAAAACAGAGAAGCCTTTATAGTTTATGCCTGAACAGTAATCCTTTACTTTGGGAGGTTAGTTCAGATAGCAGAAGACATACAAGCATTAGATCAGTTCTATACAAATTTACCAGCATTTCCTAGCAACCAGAGTTGTCAACAATGTTGATTAAATGTCAGTTACAGTGATTAAACAAACCTGCCTATTTACAGCAAGTCCCAAGTTCTAACACCACGTATGTTTAAGCTGTAGTCTTACACAGAAGAATGCCAGTGTAAAAGACTACATCTCTTAGCACTAAGGTAACGTGCCTACCACAGCCACTCACTGGGGTATGATGTGTGGCTCGTCAAGTCCAAACGCTCCACTGCACTTGGAAAGGAAGCTGGCTAAAACTGACAGCTTGAGCCTCAGGAGATGGCAGGCATCAGCTAAAATGCCACTCTTTCAAAAACAAAGATAGCAGAGGGCTTGGGAATTGCAGACTACCTATTAAATAATAATAAAGCTGCAGGTGAGGACAGCACTGCATTTATGCTTAGTCTTAAAATGGTCTTTAATTTGACTGAAATCTCCTCTGCATTTTTCCCCTGTTAAACACACATGCTTTCCTTATGTTGAAAGCATTCAGTGTCTGTGCAACTTGAACCAACTGTCAATTTATTGTTTGAAGTTGAACTACAGAAGGGAGTTAATACAGCTGCATCAGGCACTGTCACCAAATGGAAGACGGGCTCGTCATAAATTTTATAACATTTGTTTACAACTTGTTATATACCCTAAACATAAGCTAGAGACAAGAAAGATGAGTTAAAAAAACCAAACAAAAACACAGACACATTCAGAAGAGATTCATGGTACTACTTGAGGTGAATAAAAATGATCAGAAATAAATGCCTCTGAAGTACTACACAATAACCTAAGGGAAAATAATTTAAAAAGTAAGAACTTTCATGCTTACTGACTTGGCTGAAGTACATACAAATCAACTTTCATATAACCTTGTATATACAGACATTGTTTTTCCAGGTTTTTATTCCTCTACATGCTCAAACTGCTGTGACAACCACAGGAAAATTGCACTTTACATAGGCAGGTGCTCTCAGTGAAAACCAATCAGAATGAAGAAAGCATCCCTAGTCAAAACCTAACCAGCATCCAGTATTGCCTGGATAATCAAAACACACACTTTCCCAGTACACCTGTTAATTCTTACATTAAAGAAGTCTACCTCGATTACTATAATCTTCAGCCAAACAAGGTTCCCCATGCTTCATTTGTTGGGATTACTTACATGCACAGAGCTGGGCACATCTTAGTATCTTGCAGAATCAGCACTACAGATTTATTTTTTTTTTCCAAGTAGAGATTTTCAGGTGAACACAACAGACATACTTTGTCCATAGCACAGACAGGCAACATATTCCAGATGTTTATAATTCCCAGCTAAACTGGTTTATATTAAATATCATGAATAAGCCTTCAATAACAGGCTCAGCGTTAAGAAGTTCAACAGTGGACTGGACAGACCAGCTCAGACTAATGCTGCCTTAAAGGTTTTGAGCCTCCATGTAGAACGTAAGGGATTTCAACTGAGTGGCAGAATTACAGAAAATTAATGATGTTGCAGCTAAATATTCATATGATCCAAGTAAGCAATGTACTGTAAGTAAAATCAGAGAACTGCTAACTTGTTCTGAAGTATCTTTTTCACTTAAATAGAAACCTAACCCCAAAATTCCTCTGTCTCAATGACTTTCACTGTTAGCATCCTCTGATAATGAAGGATGCATTACAAATCAAAATCCATCACACCTCCCCTTTAAGCATTTTGTAGCACATGCCTCCTGAACAGGACAACAGACAAACTACTCACCTCGTTTAATGACTAGTGGAATCTTGAATTCACAGCGATGGTAACTAAAAAGTGCAAATCGTAAAGCTATTAGAAAACAAAAGCCAACATAAACTGCACAGCACAAATTCAGGGCTCTTAACCAGTTTAATGAAAAGTCACATGAATAATAAAATGAAAATGAGAGTCTCAATGCTAACAGATTAACAAAAGTTCTCATTTCTATTTTCTACATCAAAAAAGGCAGCAGCCTGGGAATGTTCTAACACAATTTTCTAGAGGACACAAAAAGTCCTTCAGCACAAATTACTCTGTTGTTATAGAGTGGATGGAGAAATATTCAGCTTAGAAACAGTACTAAAGATTTTTTCTGTCACTAACTGCTTTAATCAGACAATTGCTTATTCTTTAACTCATATTTCTCCTCTAAAGAGTTTACATTTTAAAAGTATTGAAAATATGTTCAGAAGCATGGGAGATTTTTTTTTTTTAAATCACTAACTGAAATAATGTCAGGAAAAAACAGCAGACTACCTACCAGTAAATGGACACTCTTGTTAATATGAAGTTTGTCTCCAGCAAGAAAGCTTGCATGTTATAGCTGGACCAAGAACTACCTTACATCACATACTGCTTTAAGACATCCTTGACAACAGTAGTTTAAAAGTAAGAAGAAAAAAGTAAGAAAGAAGTGTGCTAATCATCATGACTGAAACCTCTACAGGTTACCAGATACACCAAAGACACTTGGGAAAAAATACTGGAATTCTATAAAGGGAACATAAGATTTCCTTTTCATATGTTTTAAAATACTCTTTAGAGATCAGTTCTTTACACTCACATGTTAAAGTTGTAATGACCAGGATAATTTGTGTGCAGGACAAATTTCTTCACCTTGTGAGTGTTTGCATCAAAGAGAATATCCTGTTGAAGAAAACAGACAGACATGAAGCAATTTGGATAGAGGGAGGTGGCTTTCCCCAAACTAACCTGACATTAGTTACAGTAGTACCTGCATATAGTATAGGATCTATCTCATTGAAACTGAATGGAACTATGAAAAGTAGCATTTAAAAATGAGACTATTTGTAAATTCAAATAAATTTACATTTCCTCCAGCACTCAATCACAACTGCAGTTTGATTTGCTAATGTTGGCAAGTTTTCTAAGGAGGTCTTGTTTTTCTTGCATATTATTTACAGTAACGTAGACTGAAGCAAAATAGCTGCAAGGAGGGACATGAAGGTTGAATGACATCCCACAGCTTGGGAAGCTTTCTCAGTTAGTGGTATGGCACACCTCTGTTCTGCAGGACAGGAGTGTGGATTTCAGAAACAAGAACTCGTATATATATGCATCAGGCATGGCAGAGGGAGAAAGCCTAAGAGAATGCAAAAGTGCAAGGAGCCCTTCATCTGATGGTGGAGATCACAAAACATTACTGACTGAATCTGCAAGTGCTACAGTAAAGTCAGTGGGGGTTTTTTTCATATCCAGAGATTCCTAAGGCAGCAATCAAGAGTTCTGCAGTCCCTCATTTCCCACAGCCTTTATTTAGCCTTCTGAAAGGACTGCTGTGTAACTAAACCAAAACTTAACATCATTTTGTTTATGGAAGCTTTGCACTCACCACTCCAAGTGTAAAATAATTGAAGAAGTAGTCATTGCACTTTGATGGGACCTGCTTATGAGGTGAGGGTGAATGGATTTTCATCTGCAAGAAACACATTTTTCAGATGTACTTAATACTCCTCAAATATGAATGCCATTAACAACATCACTACGTTCAAACAAACTGCCATAATCTCATCTGAAGCCCTTGTTCAAACATATACTGTGCTTCATGACAGGACCATCAGCTGCTTGCAGTGGCAAAATGACACATCAGCTTTTTTCTTTTTGAGTTATCTGAAGTGAAAGGTTAACTCATATGTATACTGCTATGTAAATACATTAGGAAAGGATCAAAGTATATGCTGAAGTTACTTTACATAAAATACAGTTTTAAAAAATAGGCAAGACACACTTACTAAGGGTCATTTGGATTCAAAAGTGCCCCCGTTTTTATAGATTTTTAAAGCAGTTAATATGATGCAATTTTTTTTTTTTTTAAATTAAACAGATTTGCATTGATTTAGCTTAAAAAAGCTTTTTATAAAACAAATTATATAATGTTTCATCCTGGTCTATTATATGTCAAGTGAAGCACTCAGTTTGTGCTACATGGCAGTTTAACTTCACTGGCCTTGCAAAACACAGTCCTGTGATTAAACTGTGACAGCACTGAACAGAAGGAAAGTCCTGGGCCTGAATAAATTTCCTCACCTTATCTTCAGACTTGTAGAAGACTTTGTGCGGAGACCCCAAGGTGCTCAGCACATCCTGGCATGAATCACCAAAGTACACACAACGCTCAAATACCCGCATCTTGGCATCGGCTAAAACACCCGGGCCACAACCTGAGGAATGGAAAACAACTCAAAATTCATCCTTCCTGATCAGAGAATCCACCAGGAAATCAACACCAAAAGCTTAGCATTCCTCTATTTATCACAAACCAAACAGCTGCATTCTTTAGACAACAGTGCCAAACTAAATTTAACCATTTATTTTGCAACAGTTTAAACATTTCTTACCAAAGTGATGTACGTGCTGACGGTTGCATAGATCCACCCCATCCTAACCTCCAACTTCAGCAACACTGTGTTCGCTTCCTCGCCATTTATGTGAGCCTGACTTGTTTTCCTAATCCATCTCAATTTGATCAGCTGGTTATTAGCAGTAAGTACCAGGAATTATTTCTATCCCTAAAATTTCTATTTTAGCAGCTAAAGATGTATCTTCAGCCAAAAAAGTAGAGCTCAAAGTGAAGTTCCTCATCCATATTAACTGTAGCAGAAAAATATACATTCTTTACTCAAGATTCCCATAGCTTATTAAATCAATAGCAAGTATGTTCCTACGCAAACAATGTTAAAAATGGATCTTATTGGATAGCCATTACATAGATGAATTGCTGACATATGTTAAGAAATGGAAAGATCTTACAGTTTGCGACCCCATTTGCTTTCAGGAATACAGCATCTTACATTTACGAGAATGCACATACACATATGCAGCAGTTACTGCAAAATACAGGATGTACTCTAAATACACACTTAGCTTCTCTCACTATGCATTATTTATGTAGCTAGTCACCCAATAAATCAGAAAAATCTGATTGAGTCATCCTTGATTTCTTAAGCAAGCGTTACTTCAAATACACTTGCAGAGAAACTTGTGCTAGGTATATAGTATGTTCTACAAAGGAGTTTCTGCAAACTTTAGCAATACAAAACATGCAAATGTTCAGATTGTCTCTCCACAAGTTTTAGTCTGAACATTAGTGTTATATTTTATTTTATTCATTGACATTTCCTTTAAGCTGCATATGTATAGTTTTTAACTAAACTTGACACTCTTAGAAGTGTCCCATTTTTTACGATCATTTATATTACTATGACGTTACAGCTAACTTCTTCCCTAGTACATGATGATATATGTTCCCTGTCCTAGAAAGCTCTTATCTTCCTCTATAGAGAAACAAAGTAACTATAAAACATGTGCTCTATTTTTATTCATTTTTTTATTCCTCTTAAATTTTCTCTTTTTTAACTTTTGCATATTGTGAATGTATTCCAAGTATTTTCTCATTATACATACAGTTAGTAATCGGAACAGGTCAAAAGCCGAGCCTGCTAATGAAAATTGTTAAATACAACCCAGCATTTTTTAATTTTAAAATTGTTAAAAACACTGTCAAGTCTCAAGTTACGGTGACTGAACTCCTTTGCAGTCACTATATCTTTCCCTAATTTCTAAGCACACACAACAGGCAGTACTCATCACTTTCACTGCTGTCTCCTACAGCAAATGAAAACAGAATTGAATTTAAAGTGCAGCCTAAGGCTGCAGCATTGATGCAGTCTCTTGCTGGCATTTTTAACAGCCTTCTAGAATTAATCACAGAAACATCAACATCATACAGCTCACTGGAATCTCAGAAAAGCCACACGTACAGAAGGCTTCATGATTTCTCATGGGTTTTTTTTTCCAGTGATGTACTTGAATCTGTTTCATTCTACACATACATCTGGAGATAAATTCCACTTCTGCAAACACTCTCTAAGCACTTGGAAATATTAAGGACAGGGCTACAAGTCCTCTGCAGTTTCTCCAGGGCCAGATAAATGCAGCAGCAGGCACACTCACCTTCATGGGTTTTTTTTGTTTTGTTTTGTTTCCAATAGTTCAAAATAAGGGATATAGAACACTTTGAAACCACCTGTAAAAGCATCACAAATAACCTATGCTTAATTATATAGGTTTACCCCCTTTTCCTGAGGAAAGCAACCCAGTTCAGTGTTCTGAGTGTCGCAAATACCTGCAGTGAGTAGGCGAAGCCGTAAACCTGAGGGTCCAGTTCCGTCTCTCAGAACATCAACATTCTCGGCATACACATTACCAAGGAAACAGCTGAGAGGCATCAAGGGAGCCCTGAAACCAATCATACAAAAACATGCATAGGATTCACTTAATCTTCACATTTTCCATTAACAATCTGGTACTAGTTCACTGGAACAGAGCACATTAATTTTGTCAAAGCTGCACCTAACTCAGACTGAAGATTAAAAGTTATATTAAGCACAAGGATCAGTAAGTCCAGGGAAAAAGGAAGAAGAACAAGGCAGCACTCAAATGCAGGACCTTTACTACGAATTAAATAAACAGCACATTTCAAAGACTCCAGGAATTACAAAAAGTGTAACTAGCCTTTGGGTGCCTCCTATGAGAACATGTCATCTCAGACTCCTCTCAGGGAAAATGGAAGTTGGACAGTTTTTAAAGATACTACTCCTAGAACTAGGCATATCACCCAAAGGCAGCAGAAAAGCCTTCTCTGTGATGCTCTTGCTGCTCTGGGGAAGGTACTTCATAGCCCAGAACATGAAATCAGCTTGTGCAGCTACACCACAAACAATTGTGATGCTTTACTGGGAAGGGTCTCATTTTAATTCAATTACAATAATTTCAGTGCTTTCACTACAGCTCACCATGTCATAGACTGGCACAGACAACAACATTTTTCTGAAGTGCACTTATTCCTAATTAGGAGACAACAGACAAGCTTCCCTTCCTTCTGAGCAGTAATCCAAGGATGTGTTAATTTTCTCCTGGCATTAAAACACAACTATCTCAGCAAAAGCTAACACCTTATCAATTTGGGTTTTATAAGCAGAACAGAAGAATTTACAGAAGTCCCTTCAATTTTTCATTGAGTAAGTAATCCCAGGAACAATGTTCTAGGAAGAGTAAAGCATCAGATGACGTACAATAAATTACTGCTTAAAAGAAGACAGACTACAATACAGTAGAAAACATTAACCATACTAAAATATAACTATTCCATCAGTACTAAGGCATGAAGATTAGTTTCCTCAGAACAGTAAGTTTAGTCAGGTAACTGCAAATATATGGCAGATTATGTATATGGTTTAAGCCTGAAAATATATATTTTATTATTTTTGTATAGTAAGAGAGTTTAAGACCTGTGGTAGGACCCTGCCATGACATACATAGTACCAATACACTAGATTGCCTACACCAAGTTTGATTTGTCTTGGGAGAGATCATTAGTATGCAAACAAAATTTAGAGTAAGAGTAGCCTAACTCCATCTGTTATAGATTCACATTTCCTCCTTTACTTAACGAATTCATTTTCAGGTCAGTTAAATTAGTTTATTACAGCTAAGCCAAGCTGATTTTACAACAACATAAATCAAAACAACATTTGATTATAAGGTCTGAGGACAACGTCTATGGAAATCTGAAAGAGGTCGGTACCTAAAGGCATTCTGCACACTACCAAATTCATAAAAGACCCAAACTGAACTAAAAAAAGTATATGATTAGATTTAGCATTCGCAAAGCCCTAAGTAAATGAGGAAAAAAGAGTATTTTCTGAATGATCAAACCAGCACAACTGGCTGTACATACTTGGTATCTTGCAGACTGTTTCCGTTGTAGATGTACATACGTTTCACAGTCGCACCATGTGGAATTTGCAGAGAGGCTAGACCATGGGCAAAGTTAGGCTGTGGGTATATAAAATCATTCTTGTTATATGACACAGTAGACATTTCAGGTCAAAGTTATAAGTTACATTAGAAATACAGTATATGCTTACTAATTCGGGTGATTAGTAATTAGAATTAATACTAATTCACTTGCCAGTGACAAGGGGGAAAAACAAGAACAAAAACCCCTTCCAGATGGTGTTTCTTCTCATTACACCACCCTGGATGCCCAAGCCAAGGGGTGTACACTCACTATGTTTATCCACCACAAGATGGCCCCAGTCTAACAATTAGCTATGGTGCGTTCTGGGAATTCACCTTTCCGTGGTTTGATCACTGGCAGCTAGCAATATGAAAGTGTTTGTACTGATACACTGTATTTAAGTTCTAAGAAGTAGGTTATTTTAAAGGTAGAACTTCTTTTTTCTCTCCCACTGCCATAATTACAGCCTTCTAAAGGCATTTTACAAACCAGTGAAAATGTTATCTGATGAACTGAGACATTCATTAAATAGATTTTTCCACTCTCCTTAACACCATATTCTTATATATATTGTTTTGATAAGGATTTTGAGTGTTCTCATCAAATAGAAAGTGTGCTAAGGTCAGACTCATTCTTCTAGTGCAGTAAGAGAGCCTATTTCTTTCAACTCTGAAGATGACAGGACCTTCTTCAAAACTGTCAACATACTTTGCTGGCACTGGACAGAAAAGAAACTAAGTTTGTCACAAGCTGTCAACAAAACCAAGATGCACAATATGGAAACTATTATCCTGATCTACTTCAGTAGGACATCACATCAGGTAAACACAAAAAGTTATTCTTAGGGGGAAAAAACCCAAAATCAAGCCCCAGACCAATGACTTTCAATGCTGTAGGCATTTAGAAGGGAACCTCCATTGCTTAGCAAATCTAGAGATACCCTGGTTTTAATGCTCTTTCTGAATTTGCCCAGAACATGAACACCTCAAAACACAGATTTCTAAAGCAGTCAGACTCCGGATTTCTTTTTAACATACTTATGTTTTAGCAGCAAAGAAATCTTCTCTAGAGCCACAGAAGTGCCTAGGCCATATATGCCTCATTTCTTAACAGAAACAGCATGAGTAGGTTTTTATGTTTTTTTCACCTGTAGTTTGTTACCAGCTGTACAAAAACCTCAGAGTTTTCTTCAGTTTTTAGTTTCCATTAGCAGAGATTATACTGCTTTGCTAACTAGTTTAGCAGTCCTGAAGGATCCTCTCTGAACTTGAAAGATTGTGACATCTTTGAATTACACTTCACTCTTTCCTAAATGTTCCTCCCTGAAAGGCTCCACAAATAGACATCTTCCCTGTGGACTGTTTCATACTACTCTGTTTCCTAAACTATCCTATTTCTACCTATTTATACTCCTGGAAAGAATTTCACCTTTTACTCTGTGCAAACAACATTTTACTATTTACATTTAAACAACTGGATGAAAGACTTTGAGAATGCAAAATTATTTTCCGCACTGTTCTGGCACCTATGAAGAACTGTATCATTCCCAAGAACTACACTATGTCCCTCTCAAAACATATTGGCAACTAGCATTCTGTAACTATCCCCAAGTATTTTCTTAGTTGACTGAACCACATACCAAAATGAGACGCACAGATGCAATAGCTAAAATGGATTTTAACAGCTTTATTTTAACATCTTTTAGTTTTAGGTATTCCTCCAAGGAGCAGTGTTGATCCTGCAAGGATAGTCCTGCGAGGACCTGATGATCCTTATGGGTCCCCTTCCAACTCAAGATATTCTATGATTCTATGATCTTTTCAAATCTTTGGTATAACAAGTGGCTGACTTAGCTGCTCAACCATTTCATTCATAAATGCCGTGGGAACTCTTGCATGAAAAGCAACTACTCTCTGCTGGGACATTCTTGCTGTTTGGCTTACTAGGTTTCTATTTATCTTCCAATATTTCTGAAACCCGACTGACCTTCACTACTGCTAAACAGTAACTTCCCCTGGTTACCCCCTGGTCCCTCACATGTCAAAACACAGCTATTAAAGTATGAGGCCGTGACATAAAACCACGTGCCATCACGTTGGTTTTCTTCCACTTAGTTTTGGCTCTTCAGAAGCTCCTTTTTATTTTAATATCATACAACAAGCATTCTTTTTAACCGATAATACTACATAATACAACTGACAGTGTTCCCATCCTCACACAAAACAAGTTCTACATATATTTTTGTTAGTAGAGGTGGAAATCATGGAAGACCTGATCATTTTCCACTACAGCGATTTCCAAACATTTCAGAGAATGCAGGAATATGTTCAATTATTTAGTAACTGATCTGAACATTTGGTGAATATGCAAACAGGCATTACAAATAAAGCTCATTTGGCTTTGTAAAAGCATTCATACTGAAGGACACTTAAGATGAAAGTGTATTTTATGAACTCTAGCCTAGTTTATTTGCGTAATCACTTTGATGAGATTCAAAAATATCTGATAAAAGAACAGCCTTCCAGTAGATTGCTTAATATTTACGTATTTGCATAGACAGCACTCGTATTTTTAGAAGACTCCTTTCAACAACAGAATTGCTAGTCTCAGTTCATGATGCAAGCAAAACCTCTAAGCATATGCCTTCTGCTAAAAGGAAAAATTTGACTTCAGAATGATTACATAGCACGAGTAAGAGCACAACTGAGGAGTTAAATGACTTCCAAATTACTGGTTCCTTTGACTTGCAGGCGATATATGCTGTAGGTGATATTTTGCAAGTACCATAGAGGCAAAAAAACTACCCATTAACTAAGAATGATTGCTGACCTCGTACTTCGGAGTTTCAGTCCAGGAGTCTAACTGAAAAGAAAATGACAGTCCTCTGAAATTGAGGTGAAAGAGTTGCTCAGCTGAATTATACACTAAAAGGGAAAAGAAAGTAAAAACAGAGTTACCAAAGTAAACTAAGAATTCTCCAGTTCAGATCTAACAGCACTTTCATCCCCTCAATGAATTTCCTACATCTCAAGATGCAGGAGAAACAGAATTACACAGGACAGTATCAATTTTCCTTTAAATTTGTTGCAGTAGAAACATAGCAATAAGAGAAACCTTAGCTTCATTAAAGTAAGAGCTGCCTATACAAGCCTGTAGGCACTAACCTATCCCTAATGATAAAATTATAAAATTTGACACAATCAATTATACCCTAATATCCCTAAAGTAGTTTCAACAGCTACTGTTAGTACAAAACAATTCTGTTCATTGTTATGTGAAACACTTGTACAATATTAACCAGAAAGCCTTTCAGACAGATGTGCCCAGAATGCTGCTAAATTCTGTATTTCACACCACTGGGAAGCATGTTCCCCAGTGGGCGCTCACAGGTACCTCCCTACCACTTCCACCTCTTTTCCCAAGAGGAGCTCCTGCCTGCAGGCCCCAGTTCAGCTGCCTGTGCTCCCAAGGAATACAGCACGAGAAGGAATCGCTTCAGACAGGCAGGTCCTATGCCATTTACGACAATAATTAAAAATAGTATCACCAGAAACACCAGCCAATTGGTCAGCTTTTATGAAGAGCAGTAATAAATTAGAACACGTACTGACTTCCCACTGTCATCACGTCACGAGATGTCCTGATTTATTGCAATAAATTGCACAACATCAACTATAAACAGCAATAAGTCATCTCAGTACTTACTCAAAGACGACATACTGTTTTGTGAGACTGTGGAAAGCTTAAAAACAATCCCAGGAGACTGGGAGCTTGGGCACAGCTTTGGAATTGAAGCTACCAAACTTCAACCTGTGCCTGGTAGCCACTGGGGGAAAACACGGTGTTGTAACACACAGAAGCTGGTTCATTTGCAAAACAGTTTGAAAACAACAGAGGCAAAAAAATTAAAGAAACACTTCAACAATAGAAGCTGCTTTCTTCCACTTTACCGAAAGAAATTGGTTCAATATTCCCCTTTTTTCTTGCAATTAGATGACATAGCATAGAGTGAAAATGCATATAAATATATATTCCACCCCCCCAAGTGCCTTTCAAATGTTCAACTCTAAAGACACGTCCCAAGATATCTGGACAATGCCAGACCGCCCATGATAGAAAAATAATAGTTGAGCAATAAGCATTAAGCTTTCAAAAGTCATCATTTGCCTTTTCTGCAGAATGTGCTGGTTAAAAGCATTTTCTCTGCTTATCACTCAAAGGAAAACGTGTGGAGAGAGGGAAATGTTTTGATCTGCAGGAATATTACACAAATCTCTCATGTGACAAATTATGATGCATCTTTTCCAAAGCCCACAGCCAGCTGGAGAAGTGTTTTTCCCCTAGTCATGCCAAGTGTGATATCTGATTATATAAATCGCATCAGTTCCCATCCCCTGCAATGTTTGTTGATGTTTAGGCTTAAAGGGCAATGAATGTTTTTACCCTTACGAAGTTCTCTCAAGGCTCCCTCAAGACCATATGTCACAACCACGTGACTGAAGAAGGTAAGCCTTTTTTTAATTATTATTTCTTAAAACTTATATATGACACAGGTACCCTGCAGAATAACTCCAATCAAAATTGCTGATAGAAGCAGAAAGACTGCTTCTTTGCTACTGTGCTCTGGCTGAAGGAAGGGAAAAGCATCTGCCTTCTGGGAAAGCAGAAGTGTGACCAACTGGGAAACGTTTCTGTAGAGCAGGATGGGACAAAGCCACCAACACCAGCAAGCCTGCAGAACAGACACAGTCCTGACAAAAAGCAAAAGCAGATCCAAAAGTAAAGTCTTACTGGTATCAAGCACAAGACTGTTCTGGCACCTCAGAGCCTGGGCAACCTCTTAAGTATCTGAGGTTTACAGAGCTAGAAGACAGGAACCCCCCCATCCTTGCAAGGCCACTGTTGTAGGAGGGAAGGACAGGGTTTTTTCTTCAACCTTATGACTTCAATTCAATCCCACAGACCTTATCCACACTGAATGGCACTTCGGCAAACAGCCAGATCCACGAGGACTTGGAACAGGATGTGATTTCAACAGAACCACTGGCAAGAGCAAGCACTTCCCAGCAGGAGGTCAGATCAGAGAATCATGGAAATGTGGGATAAAAACTTGGCTTTGACGATGTTATTGACCTCCAAAGTGGTCACATTTCAATCAGCCCCATACTACAATGTTTCAAACTAACATTAGCCACAAAGTAATGAAGCTGGTTGCAATTTGCCTGATGACTTCTTTTTTAAAACCACTGATTTGGTAAAACCAAAACTGCTCACTGAAGGCTGGTTTCAACACAAAACCGTTGTTAACCTTTTGAAATATGTTTTGAAACTATCACTGTATCCTGTTGCAGGAGGGTTGTGCTGCAACCACCTTGGTTTTAAGCGAACGACATTTTGTTTGAAATTCTAGTGGAGGTTAACAACAAAATACTTTTAAACTTAAAGGGCTTGCATTGGAGTTCTGGGAGAGTATTGGTATAGAGAAGAAAAGGGATGGTTATGTCATACTTTCACTCATGAAACGTAGCACTTGATACTTCGGTCACATTAAGAGGAAAGTTTCTGTTCCCATCTTTCTCTCCACACCCCAGCTCAAATTTTTGTGGGACATAACACCATTATCATCCCTCCCACATACTGAAAACTGTTTTTTTTTTTTCTTTTTCTTTTCTGTTTCAGAAAAAGGTAAAAAATAGTTATCAAAAGCTTGCATTGCATGGTACAGTTCAAACTGTTTATGACAAGCAGCTTAATATAGAGTGTTTACTAAGTTGTTAATGGAAGATCCTGAATTTCCAGTGAGGAAACTGGCAAATGCACTAGTGAAATGATAACAGAAGTCAACATTTTAATAAACACATTTTCATATCTACATGTCACTGGATGAAAAGATGTTATGAAAAACTATCACCAGATGAAGCAACTGCAAGTTTTCTTAATTGAAAATGGCAGGCACACAAGATCTGGCAAATTCAGCATGAGGACATCTGGTGCCAAACTATATTTAAGTCCTCACATACAATTTTATGCAGTAATAAAACATGCTATTTTTATCAGAAGCAATGCTTACAGCTGGGTATATATTTTTATGGTTCATATTATCACAATTTTGCAAGCACTTCACCTCTAAATATTTGCAAATAAACATTGACACAGAACAAATAAAAATTTTACACTTTCAAGGATATGAAACCACGTTCACCCTTGCTAAATTCTACTTGGTCTCTTCTACATACTACTTCCATAATAGATCTAACTATAGATCTCAAAGTTTCTGCCTAAGAGGAAAAGTTAAGATCATGACCTAAGCAAAGTTTAAAAAGGCCAATTCTGGTCCTTGGAGTATTATGTCTAGAAATCCTCCAAGCTTCAATTTATCTCAATCTGATATTCATCTACTACAGCAGGCTTTTATGCAATGATATTACTTTAGCCACATGACCCTCCACAGTTAATAAATCCTGTTCTGTAATGTGCAAGAGATGGTTTGCAGGGAACAGGGACAAAGAGTGGATATGCAATCGCCATCAATTACAAAGAACACTAGCCTATTTGGGATCAGCCTGACTATTGCAAATGGACTGGGTTAAGCTAAAAATAGAAAGTGATGCTCTAAAAAGGGTATTCTTTTTATCTTCCCCAGTGCTCCCAGTAACATGGAGGCACAGGGAAATGCAAGCCAGTTATTCACAGGCTCAGACTTGATCCTGCCCTAGCAGGGGTATAACCAGGTTCTTTGAGCATGGAGCCTGAGCAAACAGTCCTGGTTGACCCTACACTGAGATCAGCTCTGTATGTTCATGGTATACTTAATCCCTAAGGACACTAGAAAGCTGACCATGCATAAGAACGTGTAAAAACAACAGCATCAACAATAAAGCAGCTCACAATTTTCTGGTACTGGCAGTTCAAGACAGATCTTTGATGATATCTGAACACACCATTCTGTGCCAGTGACTCTCCACCTCACTATTTCACTTGAACAAAGTCACAACTGAACATACACTACATTTTATATATCCCAGCTATAAGAATACAACCGTTCTGGAACATAGCTTCACATAATTTGACAACAGAAGTGTCTACACATTTCTCTAGGCAGACACACATGAAAGACTTCCTAGAAAGAAGTCCCTCAACCAAGGTGTGCTTCTCAGAAATACTTCGGCTTACCTCCTGGATGCGTTGCTCCAAACGACTGATCAATTTGTTCTATGGTTGGAGCAATTGCCTGAGAGTTAAAATGGACACCACTGAAAAAGAAAACAAAATGAATCTGCCTTAAGAATACTGAACAAATGCTACCAATGTTTACTAATGGCCAATACGACATTTAAACCGGAAGAAGCCTCCAAGACTAAAGAAAAGAGTAACCCGGTAGTTTAAGTGCTATCTTCAGGAAAGGATAATTACCTATGTGTTTTTTTGAAAGTTATTTTTTTTTTTAACAAGAATGATTGAAAAAAGAAATGAATACAGGATTTAAAAAGGAGAGAAACCAGTCACTGATCAAGATGAAATCATGGGAGGTCTTAAATCACTTACCAATATTTTAACTTCACCTTAGTCAAGTCATAAACTTCAATCACCTGAAACACAGGAAACAGAAACATTACCACACATCACACATTTGCGAATCATTACAGAAGCAAATTCTTGCCAAAAGGCAAGACTAGCATTGCTCACTCCCCTCCTTAACTGAACTCTGCTAAGATAAAGCACATCGGCAGACAAAACTGAAAACTGACTCAGCAACTGCACATCTTAAACAAGTACTGAAGAACAGCTAGGGGTTCCGACACTGCCTCCAGATCCTGGGTAAATCAGCACTGACCAGCAGGAAGTAATCTTTTCACTAATACATCAGCATCTTCATTTCTGCAAAGATTACTCTTAAGCAAGTTCAAAGGAAGTAATAGCAAAAGTTGCTAATGAGGGAATCCTCTAAGGAATGTCAAACAGTAGGCCATTCCTTGGGTTGCTCTTACTACCCCAAAGAATGTCTGTGCAAGGTAGTAAGTCCTAGCACTGAATGCACTGTTCCAGTTTTCCAACTCCTTCTAAAGCAAAAGATGAACACAGCAAGACTAAGTGGTAAGTATTTTATGTCAATACTACATAAGGACATGCAGCAATCTCTCCAAGCATTACACAAGGTAATCTGAAGAGCATCCCACAAAGAATCAGAGTAAGCCATAACACCTACTTTTGATATTTATTAAATGCTTTAGACCTTACTGAATATTCCAAGGAGTCCCCCTCTCTGCAGGTATTAGCTATGGATCCTTTGTTCTGCACATGTTATTGCAAACATGCATCTGAGATTGATTTCATATGGGTTTTATGTGACTGTTACTGGATCTTGAGGCTAGACTGGGCTTTAAGCAGATCATTTTTCACAAGTAACCATGGTCAAACTCAAGCTTCTTCTACCCTACATATGTGTTCCTGTGTCAGCAGGAAAAGGAAAATATGTAGAGCACACCATAACTACTGTAAAGAAAAGGTAAAGTGCTTTTTATTGCTTTGTATAATCCTCCAACAAATCACTGGCAGATTTAGAAAGGACTCACTCTTCAGCTAGAGAATAAAGCAGAATTCCTCAGGGAGCTTGCTACCAAATGTGGCTTTAAAGCCTAAAAATATCACCAGCTGCGAAGGAAGTCTTGGTTTTGGGAGATGCCTGGCAAATAACCCTCAATAAAACAACTTGCAATGCTTAAACCACTATATTAAAAAAAAAAAAAAAATTAAAAATCAACATTTAACTGCATGCTGTTGATTCATAAAAAGCTTTCTTTGCTCAGGAAGCCCACACATTTCAGGATGTAAGCAACAAGTACAGCACAAAGCAAGTAACAAATGAACATTCTGGTAGAACCAACAAAGAGCAGCAAACAAATTTTTCTTCTTAAATATATTTTGAATTATGCTTCTTGGAAAAACCTGGTTATCCAGTATTTTAATTCAAATGCAGTTTGACATGTCCAGGTTTCCTTTACTGCACAGCTTATCAAAAACAAAGGCTACTTTTTATGAAAAGCTAGGAATGATTTTACATTTTTTAGTGACCTTGCACATGATCTTTTTCACCCAGAAAATGTTTCTGAAAATAGTGAAAAACACCAACCCCCCCCAGATCTAGTTTTGCAGCAACTACCAGAGAACATTGGGCACTCTCCTGAAGTTCTGTTGAAACAGGCTGCAGTGGTGGAAAACAAAAGGACAAGTTGAACACCGAGAAGCGCACAAGGAATAGCACGTTGTACAAATGAGGTCCCCTGTGAGAGAAACACCTGATAGCAGACAGCCCGCATCAATTTGCCATCAGCCCTCTTGCCACAATTCAGACACATCTATTCATGTCAACGTTTCTTTTTACTAACAGCAGAGGAAGAAACAAGTGTAACTTAGCGAGATGTAAAGGTGGTCAAAAGATCTCGTAAGTCATGAAAGACATATATTGAAGAAACACTGCAACAGGCCATAGCCCTAGAAAAGGATTTATTTTTTAAACTACAAAAGCCATGCTGACAAAAGGATTAATGAGATTATGTGCAGAGGAACAAAAACTGAGAAGACCAATGACTATTCAGTGATGGGTTTACTACACAGTCAGAAAGCAGTTGGTTTAAATGAGTAAAACCTGATGTTTTGTCACACTCACTGTTTTGATAATTACTACTCAGTAAGACTCAAAAATGTTCAGGTATCTTCTAACCAGCAATAACAGACCAATTCCGTGAAATATAACTCTTTCTCCACCTCAGACGGAGTGTGTGCAAGTGTGTGGTAAAAGTCATATCAATGTTTTCAGAACCTGGTCCTGGATCTACTCTTTCATGTTAGCTTACATTAGTAACACCTGCAGTGCTTTGGCTACTGAAGGTGAGTAGAGAGACTATGCACAAGCCCTCCTCATTGTTTTTAGGAATTTTGCTATGGCTTTATTCCTGCACTGGCTTCTTTCGATCTGTCAAGACTTTCCTTTTTTGTAGCCAGTATTTCTATCTCTTTTTCACAACCAAACCTAATAGCAAGTGTGTATTAAAAAAACCCAAAAACATACAAAGCAAAAAGGCATCCTGATTTTTCCAGTTTTGCTGCTGCTGAGAAATACTGAAAACAGTCACAACATCTTAAAAACAGACATTACTTACTCTACACCTACACTCTTCTTTAAAAAGTCCTGTTGCTCACTTCTGAACTGATCCCACAGAATTTCTTCTAGAAAGCTTTCTGAACACTTAAGAGTTTTCATAGCATTGTATACATTTACACCTTTACTCTTTGTAGGTAAAACAAACAGAAGGTATCACTAGACCACTAAATCAGGACATACCAGAAGAGATTGGTTTTTCTTTTTTAAAAAAAAAAACACAACACTAAAAACACATAACAGGAGAGCGATTTTTTTTTCTATTTTTTAAAAAAAACAAATTTTAAAACACATTATGGAGAAAGCTGAGAAGAAAAACTCTTGCATGATTCTTAGAACATGTTGAAATGACAAAATCAGACCCTCAAGAACTGGAGATGAAGAGAAATGGCATACGCTAGTTACGGCACTTTGAAAACACAAGATTGTGACATTCCAAAAAATGTCTGTAAGCAAGCCATGCACTTGAAGTGACTATGTCAGTTGTGAGTTCAGTCTCCTTAGGAATTAAGTATATTTTGGATAGATTTCACAGAGCAGGTGTAGTTTACACTGATAAAGATCCATCTGACAGGATTTTCAAGATAATCTCTTAAAAATTGTAAATTCACATATGCAATCTGAATAATTAAGTTCTAACTCTTGACAAAAATAAAAATCTCATTATTATAGAACAACTTAAGGAACAGAAACTACCATAAGGCAATAAGAAACTGAAATCTGGAAAAAAAACTGCTCAGTTGTCCCCCATCCGAGCTCAATTTGAACTGAAAATTATTCTTATATTAACTATAAAAATACACATTTTGAAAAGAGATTTTGAAGAAGAAAAATACAAATGTACCATGGTGTTACAGGTTACTACTAGAGAAATAAGTACTTCCAACAACTTAATTTGTGTTGCTATTCAGCAATTAAATATATATACACACACACACACACACACACACACACACACACACACACACACTTAAAGCCTATGAAGAGCTCGTTTCCACAGACAGCACACTGCTACACTCTTACAGACATTTTTGGGATAAAGAACTAAGCCAACATTTTGGAGAGTGACATTTTGCTGCTGGTTTTACTGGAGACATGGGTAAGGTGAACAAGGCTCCACCCACCACTGTTCCAAAGCTTTCAAGTATGGATCTGAACACCCTATTCCAGACTTACCTAAAGGGTAAGCATTCCATTTTTTAGCATCACATTTGACCCCACACTTCTTTCAAATGTTAAATAGCACAGCAGCTGGAGCAGTACACCCTCACCCTATTAACCAAATCAACACTTGGGCACTTTGGTCACAAAGAAATTTATGCACACCAGGCGAGAACCACACTGACAACTGTTCAGGACAGCTGGTCCTGACCAAAAGACCACCCTGAATAACTAAGTTACATACAAATATTTTGTTTCAGTTAAAGTTTTTCAAAATTTTGTACTGATCTAATAATATTTCTACAGTCCCACAGTTGCCTATTTCATATGGATAAAACAAATGACTTTCATAACAGATTTTTTTGCAAGTATAAATGCCATGGGAGGTTAGTGACAAGCCTGCCCTTTATTTTGCATCTTAACTCCACAAACCACCCTGGAGAGAGTCAGATCAACAGTTGGACACCTAAAAGCAAAGCAGCAGAACTGCTGAGCTGAGGAATTCAATAGAAAGAATAAAAACTCATGCAGACAAACTGAAGTCAGTGCAGAAGGCTCACAACAGGCCCGAATGAGGCTTTCTGGGAGAAACCATGTGCTCACAGCGACACAAGTACTCTGTGAACATAACACCATTGAAAACTAAGAAAAAAAGGATCTAAGTTCACTTTCAAAAATAAAATGGCAGCACAGGTAAAGGAACAACCTGGGCAGAAAACAACATTGTCTAGTTTGCATTAACCAATAATCTTATTTCAAATCCCAGGCTTTGTTTTAGTAATGACCTTTTGCAGCTTCTGCTGCAACTTGAGACAAGACGGTCAAGTGAGGCCACACAGACCATCATACTCCTATGGTACTCTTACAGTCCCCAGTACAATCTTAAAGTGTCTTAATCCTATAAAAAAAAAGAACTAACCCCCAAACAGAAGAAATGCAGTTCATTATCACACTGCGCATGGCAAATCAAAAGTCTAAAAGAGCCACATACTTATGTTCTGTTAAGTGTCAATATATCCCAGGGTTTTGTTTTGCAGGAAGGGTGTTTTATTACCTTAAGTCTCTGATTGAAAGCATCAAACAGCAGTTTGATTCCATCCTGAGTCAGGTTAAGGATGAGGTCATGGCTAAGAGGTGACTGTAAAACAAAAAAAGCTGTTAGGCTTTTAATTTCAAGGCTTATTTGTTAAGATATGTATCATTGTATAAGTAGAAATTGGTTACTTTGGAAAAACAAAACTGCCTCAAGAAAACAACCACTTTATCAATGAATAAGCATAACAAAAATACTTTGACCAAACCTCTCAACTCCTTCAGTTTCTTTAACAAAAGAAACAGAAGTGCCCAAGGAAGATTTGCACCCAGCAAGAATGAACTGCCAAAAGGGTAGCTGTCCATTACTTTAAGTGGGGTGTGGGGGGGAACCACCTTGAAAATTAACGTTCCGAGTTTAGCATCGGAGAAAACATACAAGGACAGACTGTTGCATTCTTGGTGCACAAACATAATAGGTCAACCCACCAAGTCTCACATCAGAACTAAGCATACACTTGACAAAAAGATGCTACGAGAGCTTTCCACTTCAAAAATCCAAGTGTGTCACAGTCTTTTTCAGGCCTCAAAAGAGGGAGGCTTCAGACTCTTATGTTGTGAATTTAGGTTTCCTTAGTTACTGTGAATCATAACAACGAAAGGCTTAATTTGCAGTCTGCTGGAGTCAATAGGAGACATTCCGCTGGCTTAACTGGTGTCTGTATAGGCTCTAAGCCATCTCAGTCTGCTGCGACGCTGTGGAAGCTGCTCACCGCTGGACCGGTACAACCCACACACAGAGTCAGCTGGCATCAATTCAGCTATTTGTTCATGTACCGTCTAAAGCACATTTGCTTCAAAAAGCCCTGCCCTCCACAACTGTCTGCTTAGAGGAGAAAAAAGGCTCAACAACAAGCAGGCAGCAATATTCATGCTCTAGAATTGCACCAAGCAGTTATCTATCAAAAAACAGCAAGGGGAGGGGACATGTGTGGCACATACAGGCTTCTAATGCAGGCAGCCATACCATACGGCCTTTTTAATTAATTAAGCACAAGCTATCTTAACTGTTACTCTCCCCTTTGCTCTACTGGGTGAAGGTCTGTGTTTTGACTGTCAGAAGTCTGATTCTCCTCCTAAATTTTATCACCTCTTTATTCTCACATCAGCACCACCTTCTAGCCTGGATACCCTTTGTGCACTCTACCACACATCTCCCACCCCTTCCCAAACCATGTATTTAAGTAATCAGATCTTAAACTTCACATCACTAGGTCAAAACAAGCCACAGGGCTTTCAATCCTCTCTGATGCAGATTTCCCATTCACCTTTATCACACCAGTAGCTTTTCCTGAAGCAGGTTCAGTTCAAGCTCATCTTCCTTGAACACTGGGTATCTGGTGTGTAAGCTGTCTTCTAAATAAAATCTTTACAGTGCCTTGCACAATGGCATCAATACTTCACTATTGCTGGCAAACTTTTCTTATATTGTGGATAACTGAAACAGCACTGCAATTTAGTCATGAGCCTGACAAAGGTCTAATGTTGATCCTGAGTATTTTTTTACTTATGAATCTAATTATGAATTATGAATCTAATTTAGAACGTCTACAGACAGAAAAAAAAAGTGTTATGTTGCACTTAAAACATACCAACAGAGTTGTTCTGATATGGGATATGCTCTGCATTTCACTTGTTTCTAAGCTGAATTTTCATAAGGTTATTCTAAAATTAATGAGAGCATTACAAGTACTTTTGAGTGGGTGAGGAAAAAAACCCAAACATCTGAAGAAAATCTTGATAATTAGTAGAGCAAATAGCTTCTGTTCTATGCTGGCAAATTTTGTAATAAAAGAAGTTTCAAGGGCACAAATTTAGTTCATGCGACTTTCAATACACAAAATAGAACCTCAAGTACGAAAGATGATGCCACAGGAAGCACAAGGAGAGTCCTCCCTGAAGGAAACAACTCAGATGTGCAGTTACACTGCTAATCTACATAAAGCTGCAGGAAAAACTAGTAGCACTGAACAATCCCATCGACACAAATCCAGAGGAAGAGGCTTAGGAAATCATACAAAGGCAATTAAGCACACCACTTAAACTGACCAAAAAGGAGTTAAAATTCTTTAGTCACAGAAAATGGTTCATCAAGCTTTTTTGGCACAGTTTGGGCATCCCATTTATGTCAAGTTAACAAGAGAGCTATGGGCAAATCTAATTGCATTTAATTGTCATATAAATTTTTGAAAGGAAATACTTGCTGCTAGAGTTCCAGGATCAGAAATTCAATGCTTTAGATGCAACAACTTTAAATAAAATTTGATCACTATGCTCAAACACAATTCCTTTAGAAAGCAAAGAGGAAAGACATGAAGGCTATTCAGGTAAAATTTAGCTAGATGAAAGTTGTGCCCAGCATAGTTTATTTAAAGCTTTGAATCTTCCAAGAACTGCAGCAGCAGCTCTTTGTGATGGGCTGCTAATGAAGTGTATGATGTTCTGCAGAGGGCAAGGACCAGAGAGGCAAGTGCAGGTGCCCTGAGTGGCGTGTGGAAAAAGCTGCAGCAGTATCAGGTGTTGAATCAGAATAATATACAGAAAAAATATCATCAGCACAACTATTCCACAAAGTTGAGAACTACTATTTTGTTGGACTACGCCGATGTTAAAAACATCTTTACACTTATTACAGTCTGGGGAGAAAAATCCTGACATACACTCCCACTCCTGCAGATAGAATAAAAATCCAGTGTAAGTGGTTGATCACAATGTAGCGCTTTCCAAGAGGCATAAAAAACCCAAGCAGAAGCATACCTTGCTTTCTAGAACTAGACCACTAATCCTTCTGTGATTCTACAGACCTGAGAGGAACGGGAATCTCATCATATATCTAAACAAACCTAGAATTAATTCTGGAATGTACTGTATTAAGAAAAACTAAAAAACCTCCAAAGCATGCAAAAAAAGAAATGCATTCACTGCCAGACGGATGCTCCCATGCATTAAGTACAGGGAGCTAGATTTTCAATTTGCAATTCAGACATCATAAAACCCATAAATCTACATAATGTGAAACAAAAAAGGAGAATTCATTTAATTACATGAAATATGTATCCAGCAGTAATCTAGCCAGAGCCGAGCTTGTTCCTTAGTCATTCAGTATTCACTGCAAATGCATGAGGCATCAATCAGTATTTTGATACAAACTGACATTCTAGCAGACTTTGCCTTTTTCCTGAGCAAAGATCCATAATCTACAACATATGAATATCATCTTCTGATTAATGTGCATTTCACGTAACACACATTTGGAGAGCCACAGTCCTCCTCTGTATCTCCTCTTCTCTTCCACTTCTTTCAAAGTAAAGGTGGGTATACAACACATTTTATTTGACCTAGTGAAAGGTTTCACTTCTAGTCCCCTTTTTGGTGGAAGTCCAATGGATTAGGAACATAATGCTTAGTTATGAAGAAGGATTAAAACATCTATAGCTGGTTTAAATTATTGTATCCACTTTCTGCAGACAAAATTGCAGATCCAGAGAGAAAGTGTGGAAGCCTTTTCAGGGGGTTCATCACCACTGAACCAAACATGAAAGCAGAAAATAACAAGCGATTCAGTACTTCAAAAATACTGCAATGCTTGACAATGATTATGTAAAAAGACTAAAATTATCAAATTAATTACAGAACATTTCCTTTCTTAAAGGAAAAACAATAATACCACACCACTACATATACAAAACTGATAAATCACTGCACTGATCCAAGGATTATGTGTCAAGGACACTTGACACAAAACTTAGAAAAGCTACACCTCTGATGTGGTGGCAACAATTTTCTGTAATTCGACATCAAGTAGCGCCACAATTCATACAATATGTATGTTAGCATAACACAGTCTCAGTATATCCCCTAATGCCTTAATTCTGTGACACAACAAAGTGAATGACTTGGCCGGACCATGCACTACTCACCTGCTCACTGTAGAGAACTTGGACATTTTTGATAATGCGACAGTGTTTCTGAAGAATTGCTACAGCCTGAGCCAATGGCATTCCTGTAAATAAAAACAGTTGCATTTCTTCAATTCCGAGACCAGCTAACAGTGTTTTTTAACAGAAAGGTTACAGAGGTAACAGAGTAGTCATCAGCAAACAGTACATTACAACAGAAAGGCATGCAATCAACAAATAAACCTACTTGACTCATGGTATCAGCACAGACCTTTTTTTTTTTTTGAAACAGAAAGGTCATTGTTTATCTACCAGTTTGTTAAATATACATGAAAGACAAGTACCTCCAGTCACATAATTAAACAGCAAACTTCAGGCAGAAAAATCACAGACCTCGCACAAAATGTTCTGCTTTTTGGGGTAATCACAGAATGGTTTAGGTTGGAAAAGACCTTTAAGATCATGGAGTCCAACCGTTAACCCAGCATTGCCAAGCCCACCACTAAACCATGTCCCTAAGCACCACATTTACGTCTTTCAAATATTTCCAGGGATGGCAACTCAACCACTTCCCAGGGCAGCCTGTTCCAATGCTTGACAACCCTTTCAGTGAAGGGATTTCTCCTAATAACCAATCTAAACCTCCCCTGGCATAACTTAAGGCTATTTTCTCTTGTCCTATCACTTGTTACTTGGGAGAAGAGACCGACCTCCACCTCTGACACCCTCCTTTCAGAGAGTTGCAGGGAGCAATGAGGTCTCCTCTCAGCCTCCCTTTCTCCAGTCTAAACCACCCCAGTTCCCTCAACCACTCTTCATATGACTTGTGCTCCAGACCCTTCACCAGCTTCACTGCTCTTCTTTGGACACACTCCAACACCACAATATCTGTCTTGCAGTGAGGGGCCCAAAACTGAACACAATATTCAAGGTGCGGCCTCACCAGGGGGACAATCCCTTCCCTGTCCTTGCTGGCCACACTATTTCTGATACAAGCCAAGATGCCGTTGGCCTTCTTGGGCAGCTGGGCACACTGCCGGCTCATGTTCAGCTGGCTGTTGACCAGCACCCCCAGGTCATTTTCTGCTGGGCAGCTTTCCAGCCACTCTGCCCCAAGCCTGCAGCATTGCAGAGGCTTGTTGTGACCTGAGTGCAGGACCCAGCACTGAGCCTTGTTGAAACTCGTACAACTGGCCTCAGCCCATTGAGCTGGCCTGTCCAGATCCCTCTGATAAAGTAGCCTATAGCAAACTCGGCTAGAGCTGGCTAGAGCACTCCTATACATGTTCAATAGGCTCTTGGACCACATTTTATAGCATACCCTTTATCATGCTTGATAAACTATTATCAAGTAGTTGCAGAAGACAAAAATATCAAAATGGAACAATAATTCTCCTTAGACCTAATAGGCCACATTAGCTGCTGATACAGCTACATTCATGTCAAGGAAGGAAATTTATCTTTTTAGTTTACAGACAAGATAAACATACTAAACAATTTAGTTCAATTGAAATAATACACTTAACAGTTATCCACCCTCTAACACAATTTCAAGGGTGCTTTTTTTGTTGTTTTTTCTTTGGTGTGTATCTTATCTTTACAGCTATAAATTTTTGAAAGTGGAAGGAAACAGCTGATTCTGCAGAAAGAATAGCACCACACCATCTCATCCTTTATCACACTTAAAACCTTTGTTGCCTTTCCAAATGAAATGTGATCGTGTTCCTGGATTCAAAGCAGGCATTTGTAAAGAGATGTTATGAGCTCATAATGGTGAAGTTTTATTTCCCTACTAATTGCTGCAAGTCAATTTAGATTAGTTATCTGATATTTTATTTACACTACTTGCTCCATTCTTCTCTCTTTCCAGTTTTTAAATATTAAGAAAGTTGCCTTGATTAGGGAAAATTTAGTACAAGACCTATACTTTTATTCAGGTAACAGTTCAGGCACTCAGATTTTTAGTTACTAGCTACACCTCTCAAACTCAAAACTGTGCATTATGTTCCAAATCACCTTTTACACATTATCTACAGTTCCAAAGTGAGAAAACTCCCTCTCCATATATATATCACACACGCCTAGATCACCTAAGTACTGCTTTAAAGTAATACTAATGTAAGACTAAAAAAATGTCACTGTTGCACTAAACTACATGCCTGTTATGCTATACATTGCAGCTTTTCTGCAATTATGAAATAAAATTTTGCCAAAACAGGCTTACAGATTAGAACTACAGGGATTCAGTTTGTAAATACCATATACAACTGTTTCTGTGAAATTGTTTTTCATCTTAGACCATAATCCTGGAAACAATTTTTTTTTCAGCTATAAATTATACACCAGAAGATGATATAAAATCAAGAATAGTTATTTTAGTAAAAGTAATGAAATTACAATGCACAGAGCCACACAATAAAGCAGCACTGTTTCCTATTATCTAGGAAGTAGCAGTTGCCTTTGTAGTCTAAGCAGCTGAGTTTTAAAAAGACAGTTATTATGTATTAGATAATCTTTTTAAAAATGGAACAGAAAAAAATAACAGCAAGAAGCTAAAATCAAATACACTGCTGTGAAAGTTTCATGTCCTTAATCTGGTAAAAGCTAGGATTCCAAAAAAAGTAAAGATGATTTAAGAGTTTAAAACCCATTTTCAAAGTCATTATTTCTATGAGACTTGCAGACGTAACACTTGTTTTTTTAAAAAACACAAGTGACAAAGGCTCAATCAAAGCCAGTGAACAAGCTGACAGAATCTATATGCCGATGGCAAGCGTCAGAAGTAGGTAAGGTTTCAGTAAAAAAGCATGTGGTTAAAAAAAAAGTGCGCACAAACACGAAGTTCAGTTTGTAGTCCGATGTAAACTGATGCAATCTTGGGTTAGTAAGTGTGCAAACAGATGGCTCATGTGACTCTCTTACTCAGAGCTTTCTCAAGCTGCAAGCAAATGGACATGGACTGATTTTGTTCAGTTTTCAGCAACTGTGAATCAAGCAGATTTTGCCATGCAGCTGCTTAGCAAAGCTACAATGAGGAACCTAAGCTCTCCAAGAACAGTTTGCAGAACGCAAAATGTGTGAAGGAGCCAGTATTTTCCCTTTGCCTCTATTAACAGAGAGCCAAAGGAGGAGTAAAGGAACTAGGTTATTTCTCTCCACCCTTCTCACGCACAAACACAACACCCCCTTTTCCTCAACATTCGTCAGTCTTTGCAGTCAAAGAGGAAAACAAAGAATTCTTTTTCCCCTGCTCACCAGTCGGGGGAAACGGGGAAGCAAACATGGTTACCAGCACATCAGACAGTCAACCAAAACCCACAAAGACCAGTGCTAGGATTCTCCTGTCAAACTTTTCCCTTTTCTAAATGTTGAAGTGATACAGGTGACACAAGACACTCCTCTCACATACACTAGTCATGAAAAACATGGCTTGAAATGTTTGTTTATGCTAAGACTATGTGGCTTAAAGGGAGGCGGGTAGAGGAGTGAATAAGGATTAAAAGAGAAGAACGCAAGAAAATCCAAGAGAAGACAAATCATAACACATTAAGAAAAGTGAAACTTAGTAAGAAAAGAAAGTATAAAAAGCAAGAGAAATGCAAGTACACCTTAGAAATCATACATCTCAAATGCTAATAATACAGCTATAGGCACTACAGAATAAGTATTTAATTGTTCTCCTTTAAAACAGCAGGAACATAGCCCGAGAGGTGCAGTGACACAGGTAACTAATTGAGCACAAAACTCAGCCCTGGTTAAATTTTTTATGCTCTGGTCACATAATGAGTCAACACTGGAACCAGAAACAGAATCCAAAAACTCATGTAAAAAATTTTCCTGGCATTTCCCCTCAGTCATCTCCACTGTGGGCATAATACTGGAAGCCAGAGTCAGCAGCAGTTCAGGAATAGTGCCATTAGTTCTGCTAAGAGCAGATCTAAACAAACAACGAGTAAAATACTGCTGGCGGCGAGAATCCCATTTACACTGGCACTTCCAACCTCGCTGCCGCTAACACAGCTGAACCAGCTACATCAACACGGACAATTTTCATACAATATCCCTAGTGCAGGACAAAGTTAAGTATCTTAATACCTAGTCAGCCTCCTGCTCTATACCAGCAGGTCATGCTAATTATATATTAGACATATCACGTGGTGGCTATGTTTACTCCAAGAATTACAGCTGAGTTTCCTCCCTCTCACATCTATGCATGTGTCTGTGCGTACACACAGAGACACAGTATATAATTTTAACCATGAGATTGCATTAACGGGCTTCTTTGGGGCTTCTTGGGAAAATGAAAATAATTTTCTCACTTCCCTTTTTGTTGTTTTTGTAAGGAGAATAGGGGAAAGCCGGTAGTACATATTTATGAAGATTGCCAGGGTATATAATTTGAGATTGCATTTCTTTTTGGGTAATACAGGCACTAAAGGATCACAGAAGATCATGCAGAACCTAGGGAGCACAGGAACATGTTAGCGGTTTACGGAGATCACCGAGATTTCAAAGGGTGGGACCTGAGGTACTATAATTAGCCACCAAAAGCCATTCTAACACTCCCTGTAACCACTGAGTTGCACTTGACTCTGAAGTCACAGCAGCATAAACAGCCCTTTGTGTTTGATGGGTTTCATATAAACACTGCCACGTCACAGCACCACTCCTCTGGTGTGACCCAAGTTCGTGGCAGCTGTGTAACAGTGTTTTTAAGAAACACTCTGAGCCCCTGCTGTTACAGGTGACAGCAGAAGTGTAACTCAAGTTCTGGCAGATACAGATGGCTGCCATGCAGAGCCCTGTTTACATTAGCCAAACTACTACTATCAATAACTGCACTTTAGACACAGCAGCAGCAAAGATGGAAAACTGAGCATAAGAGTCCAACATGGATATCTCAATCACTCAGAAAATGTGACAGCTACAATATTTCTGAGAGTTTTAAGGCCTACCAATATCTGTTTGAAAACACAGGTCATCTTAAGAATCCATATCATCTGAGTTTCAACTGCACATTTAAGTGCCCTAGGCTGAGCACCAGCCAAATTTCCATCAGCTGGGGGAAAGTTCTTTCTCATCACACTAAATAGAGCAATGGCTGATAGGGAAGGGCCTCTCAGAGAGAAGAAAAAATGAGAATCATTGCAGGAAGAAACCCAAGTTATCTAACACTGAGAAAACCTCTGAAAAGTTTACTTTCTACACTATAATGTCACCACCCAGCAACAACACAAAGAAATACTGAAACTTAACTCATATTTATGAAGAGTTTGTGCAGAAAAGCACAGTATTTATGCTCCTTTAGGAGTTACTTTAAAAAATTACTAGTCTGAGATGGTAAGGCAAGACAAAACAAGGTAAACAAGTAGTAGAAAGCATACAAGCTGATAAAGCACAACTCAGCATGCAAAAGCTGAAGGTGAAACTATATGCTACAAGGGAATCCTTAAAGCTCATAGTCTTTTTAGCTTAGTCTTTTTAGCCACAGAGAAAGGTGAGCTTTGACTCTGTCTCCCTCCCACTGTTGCAACTCCCTGAAAGCGCCGGGAGAAACCTCATGAACCCGGATCATGAGACGCGAATCATCCCGCTCATGCAGAGGGTCCGGGGCAGCCAGGCGAGCTCCGGGGGAGTGGGACACACAGACACACACTTACCCAAGGTGAACTCCCATTGCTCGTTCCCCAGAGACCGCTCGGGCACCACCTCCAGATCTAGCATTGGCTCAGGTAGCGCGGAGGCCGCGGGCTGGCACGGCACGTCACCCGGTCGCTGCGCCGGACCTCTGAGGGAAGCAGAAGGGAAGCTCGCAGCCTGCGCCCCGGCCCCCCACCGCCGGGCAGCCGCACCCCCC